GGGCATGGTGGCGCATGCCTGTAGTCCCAGCTACTTGGGAGGCTGAGGCAGGAGGATCACCTGAGCCCAGGAGTCTGAGGTTGCTGTGAGCTAGGCTGACGCCACGGCACTCTAGTCCTCTAGTCCAGGCAAGAGAGTGAGACTCTGTCTCAAAAAAAAAAAAGAAAAAAGAATAATAAAAATAGCGAAAACCCATATACCTATACCAAGATTTAAAAACAGGATATTAGCAATATCTTTGATGCATCTCATCCCTTCCCACCCCTACGCCATAGCATATTTTAGAAATATATACTTGCATATGGAATATACTGTATGTATTCTTCTATGATTTGCTTTTTTCTTTTTTTTTTTTGCTTAATATGTTGTCATGTTGATGCATAGATCTGTAGTTGTTAATTATTTGTGGTATTCTTATGAATGAATATACCACAATTTATTTATTCATTCTCCTAACAGTGAACATTTGTGTTGTTTCCATTTTTTGCTGTTATGAATAATGTTGCTATGAACTGTAACTCACATACATTGCTGGTATGGATGTAAAATAGTACAACCATTTTGGAAAACAGATTTTCTTACAAGTTAAACACATACTTACCATAAGACCCAAAAATTCCACTCCTAGAAATTTACACAAGAGAAATAAAAACATATGTCCACACAAAGACCTTTACATGAATTTTTATGGCAGCTTTTTAATTTATAATAGCCAAAACTGGAAACAATTCAAATGCCTGACAACTAGTAAATATATAAACAACTTCTGACGTCTCCATATAATAGGATATCACTCAGCAACAGAAAGGGAGGAACAAGCAACAACATGGGTGAATCTCGAAGGCATTATGCCAAGCGAAAGAAGCCAGACACAAGTAACGACATATTGTATGATTCCATTTATGTGAAATTCGACAAAATAGAAAACTGCATTGACAACATGAGAAGGGTTCTTATGTAATGGAGCAAGAGGGAACTTATACATTCATCGTGGTGGTAATTACGTTGGTGTATACATTTGTCAAAATCCATCAAACTAAATGCACCTCAAGTGGGTGCATTTTATTATATGTAAATTATATCTCAATGAAGTTTATTTTAAAATAATGCTACTATGAATATGCATGAACATGTCTCTAGCATAGTGAAATTGCTGGCTATTTAGTAAGCGTATCTTCAATTTCGCTAGAAAATAGCAAATCATTATACAAAGTGGTTGTCTCAATTTATACTAGCACCTGCAATATACAAAGTTTCTCTTTGACGCACATTCTGGACAATGGTTTTCAAGTATTGCCAATCTGGTGAGTGTTAAATAGAATCTCATCATGGTTTAAGTATACATTTTCCTAACTTTCTCTTTTTTTTTCTGTTTCTCCATTTTTTGTCAGGTCGTCTTTTTCTTATTAATGTCCAGAAGTTATTTAAATTTTCAGTCTAAAATGTGAAGGGGTTCTTTACATTTTGGATATCTTCTCAGAGTTTGTACCTTGTCTATTCATTTTCTTTGTGATCTTTTAGTTACAGGAAGCTTTTGATTTTAATGTGGTCAATGTATCAATCCTTTTCTTTATAATTTGAGCTTTGTGTCTTGTTTAAGAGATCCTTCTCCCCTAAGGTTAAAAAGATCTTCACCTATATTCCAAAAATTTTAGAATTTTGCCTTTCATATTTAAGCTCTTAATACACCTGTAATTGTATACAGTGTGAGGTAGGGAACCAAATTATTTTTTCCTTACTGATAATCATTGATACTAGCACTTATTGAATAGTATGTTTTTTCCTCATTTATCTGTGAAGACACCTCTATCAAATATAAAGTTTCCATGTATATATCAGTGTGTTTCTGGGTTCTCGATTTTGTTCCATCAGTCAATTTTTCTGTCTTTGCAAACATATTATACTGATTTAACTAATTTTGCTTTATAAACATTTTTATATCTGATGGGAAAAATCCTCTCACCTTGTTCTTTTTTCATGAGTGTCTTGGCGATTCTTGCCCCAGACCAAAAATAGATATTGTGTGATGAGTCCATTTATACAAAATATAAGAAGGGACAAAATTAATCCATGGTGACGCAGGTCAGAATGTTGTCTTGCGGCTACAGGAAAAGATCTGACAGGAAAGGGCAGGAGGAGTGTATTTGGGGGTGGTATAAATCTGTACCTTGCATGTGATAGCAGTCACACAGATGCACACAAACGTCAAATTCATGAAACTGAATCTTAAGATCTTTCCATTCTATTACATGTAAATTATGCCTTTTAAAAACATAGCCAATTGTTTCTAAAGATCTTTCATCATTGTTGGATATTCTATAGCATATTTAAGCAATTTAAAAATATTAGCTGCCTGTGTAGGACAGACCTTATGGTTTAGCTGCCTAATTTATGGAGATGTTCATTAACATTTGTTGTTTTCCTTTGGTCACAGGTCTGCCTCTTTAATGATTGGCATAAAGTCAAAAAGAGTATCAAATAGCAAAAACACAATTATATCTCAATTTGGGGGGAATAGTTGAACCCTCCCTGGTAATACAGAGTGGGGAAAGGGGGAAAAACGTGTCACGTTTTGTGTGTGTGATATATCTGTGGTGTTAACCAGATCAGGAGCACGGGAGTCTGGAGAGGGTATGGATTTATTCACAGGACGTTTGGGGAAGACCGTTTAAAGTGTTTGCTGAAGGCAGGGAGCAAAGTTGTGGGTAACTTTTAGCTTATTGTAGCAGCATTTGAAAGGCAGGTTTGAAACATGAGAAAGAGACTGCTCATTTTACTTGTCAAAATAAGGGAAGTAAAAGCACATTACAAAATTCCCCATAGATAAAGAAAATGGCAGGAAAATGACTCAGGGTAAGGAGACACGTACCTTTTAAGTAAAATATTCTATAAAATAAATTGCACAGGCTGCACAACGTAAAAATTCTAGGTTTGTGAACTTTTACCTTTACAAGCAAAAAAAGATGAGGCTAACACTTGGCCTGCCTAAATCACAAGATGGTTGTGAAGATCAGATAAGAAATGCTTCCTTTGAAAGGTTTTCTTTTTTTTTTTTATTTCAGCATATTATAGGGGTACAGATGTTTAGGTTACATATGTTGCCCTTGCCCCCTCTTCCCCCCAAGTCCCAGTTTCAAGCGTGTCCATCTTTTTATTTCCTTAACACCATGACTCAGAAAACTTGCTCAATCAACGCTCATCGAGTGCCCCGTAATAGGACGGGGTACTGTCTTAACCACTTGAAATTCATCAGTGAACAGACAAAAGCCTCAGTTTCATGGAGTTTATCTTCCATTTGGACAAGTCATACCAAAAAATGGCATAATAAATAAGTAAATTATATAGGTGATAAAATATAGGTGATAAGAGAAAAGAGAACAGTGTAAGGGGAACATATATCACCATATGAACATCTTAGAGAAAATGATTTTTTTCTATAAAAGCAAAAATAAATGCTTTGTGGGAGGCTGAGGTGGGAGGATCACTTGAGTCCAGGAGTTAGAATCCAGCCTGGGCAATAAAGGGAGACCCTATCTTCCATTTGGACAAGTCATACCAAAAAATGGCATAATAAATAAGTAAATTATATAGGTGATAAAATATAGGTGATAAGAGAAAAGAGAACA